AAAAAAAGAATAATGGGGCTTTCTGTTTTCTCTTGATCACCACAGGGAACATCAAGCTTCCCTGATGGAATTCTTTTCTGGAGAAACCAATAGATGATGCAGGGTCTATTTGCAGAACAGGCCTTGGTCAGATACCAGCATCATATAGTGCCCCAGATGGAAAAAAAGGAGCAGAATTCAAAGGCATGAGTCAAGTGGAACTGAACTCTTTGGATAAATTCTTCTGCTGTCCCTACCCTGCCAGTAGCCTTATAGCATAACTGTACAGAGTGATAAAGATAATCACAGAGTCATTAGCCTGAAGACAAAAATTAGTTCATAATTCGAAGAAAACAAACATATTACACATTTGGAGGGTTTTTTGTTTGTTTGTTTGTTTGTTTTCTTTAAATTTGGTTAGGGAGACTTTTCTCTGAAGGAACTTGAGGAATTTGAAGAAAGGTAAACATTATCATGTGTTTGATGTACGTCTGTGAGCGATTTAATAGAAAAGAGAAATGAAGAGTCAAAAGCTAATAGCTGATAATTGAACAAATGTTGAGGTCTTCCTGGTGCAAAATAATCTGGTAATTGTCAAGTGTTGTTTTCTGGTCTCTTTTATAATTGCTTCTAAACACTGACATTACTGTTAATTATTTTATGTCTGGAGCTTGTGTGAAGCACAGGTGACAGATGGAAGTTAATCCTCAAAATCACCCATTACATAAGACACAACTTGGGTGTGATTTGCTATATCATACTTCCAAAACATAATGTTAAATGTGGAGCCAGGTTCCTGTGATCTGGATCACCAAGGGTTTGCCTTGCTCTCTTTACAAGTATTGGTACCTCAAAAGGAATGAGGTAATAAAAGAACTGTGAGCAGGGTCGGAGTCTGTGGTGACTGGGAATGGGCCCAAATCATCTAAGGATGACTCCAATTCTTGAATAAGTGCCTGTAGTAATTTGATGGGAGGTGTGGTTGTAATAACCTCAAAACCATGAAAATTTGGCTTAGTTTTGAGATTTCAATTCGATAAGACAGAAAAATAATTCAGTTGTTAGATTTGACCATGAAAGCCTTACTAAAAGTAGAAAATATGGCACTATTATTAGTTTAGTAGAGAGAGGGCTTAAATGAATGACTCACATAGTTCTTGTCTAAGAATTTTCATGCTGCATAACTTAATGATTCCAAGAATGTTTTTGAAAAGAAGCAAACAAACAAAACCCTTTCAATCCCATGCATTAAAATTCTAGGAGTGGTGACATGTTTAGAACACTAAGTATCATGTTCTTTGGTTCTTTTTGGCACTGTTGATGTGGTTCAGATAACCTGAAGCCCACCTTTATAAAATTTAACATACATCTTTTAAAATACAAATCTGAAGTTGATGGAAGTAAGGATATTCTCCGACGGCCAGACACAAACCTGAGGCTACAGTTGTTCTGGAGTGGAAAGGTGAAGGAGGTTATAACAAAAAGATTGATGAATCCCAAGATCAGCAGGTAAGCTGCTAGCTCAAGTCCCAAGAACCAGAGGTCAGACAAACAGGAGGCAACTGCAGGATCCAGAGCAGGCAAAAGCCAGAATGTCCACTTATATTCAGATGCAGGCCACACACCCTACTCACAGCAGATCCTATCATGGGGTGATCACATATAAACACTGAGAATCATGACCCAGCCAAGTTGACACACAATCTTAACCATCACAAGGCCCAATAGTTTTTTTTAAAGGTTTGAGTAGTACCAAAATTCAGGGAAGAATAAAAATGATTCATCCTGCTAATTTTTGTTTTAGGAATTTTTCATTATGATCATAGGATCATTAAAATGATATGTGTATCATGGCATAAACCAAGAAGGAAGCCATGGAAAAAATAAGCACCAAATTCAGGATAATAGTGATGGGGAATTAGGGAAGGCTATGTGAAGTGGCTAAGAGCTCAGGCTGCTAACCAAAAGGTCAGCAGTTTGACTTCACCAGCTGCTCCTTGGAAACCCCATGGGGCAGTTCTACTCTGTCCTATAGGGTCTCTCTGAGTCAGAATCAACTTAATGACAATGGGGTTGGTTTTGTTATACAAGGGTGGGAGCTCTGGTGGCACAGTGGTTAAGAGCTCAGCTGCTGACCTAAAGGTCAACAGTTCAAATCCACCAGCCGCTTCTTGGAAACCCTATGGTGCAGTTCTCCTCTGTTATATAGGGTCGCCATGAGTCAGAATTGACTCAACAGCAACAGGTTTGTTTTTTTTATACAAGGGTAAGGGCTTCAAAAAGGTTTGGAAGGTCTTATTTCTTAAACTAAGTAGCAGGTACATGAGAGTTCATTGTATTATTCTTTACATCCTTTTGTATACATGAAATAGATCACACTAGGAAAATGATTTCATGAGTTAAGGTAATTCACCACGTTCAAAGATTACAAGAGAAAAGTTATAGGATCATCTCACTAGATGCAGAAAAAGCATTTAATAATGTTTAACATCCATCCATACTTTTAAAAGACTTGTCAAACTGAGTATTAGTGAACATCCTTAAATCGATTAAGAGTATAACCAAAAGCCTACAGCAAACATCATGTTTAAATGTGAGCTGTTAGAAGGAATAAGACAAGACTGTCTTAAGCATCGGAAGTCCTACCTAGGACAATGAGACAATAAAAACAAATACCACGCATGAAGATTAGAAAATAAGGGGAAAAAAACCTGCCGTTACTTGCATTCCATTTGATTGTTTATATAGAACATCTAAGAATATTTAATGATAAACAGAACCAACAAAAAGTTCAGAAACTTATTGGACACATACCAAACCCACTGCTGTTGAGTTGATTATGACTCATAGCAACCCTGTAAGGCAGAGTGGAAGTGCCCCAAAGGGTTTCCAAGGCTGTTAATCTTTACAGAAGCAGCCTGCCACATCTTTCTCCTGAGGAGCAGCTGGTAGATTTGAACACTGTATTTTCAGTTAGCAGCCAAGTACTTAACCACTGCACCACCAGGGCTCCTTATTGGATACATCACCCATGCTTAAAAATTAATTATCTTCCTATACAACATAAGCTAACAATGAGAAAATGCAATTTTACAAATATTCCATTTACAATAGCAAAAAAACTTTAAAATGCCTGGTATAAAATCTAATTAAAGATATATAAGATATTTACAGAAAATTATAAATCTGTATTGAATGGAATCAGAGGATGGCTATACCATGTTCATGGATGGAATGATTCAGTATCATTAACTTACTAAGTCTAACCAAATTAATCTTTTAGTTCGGTGGAATTCCAGTTAAGATTTGAGTAGGGCTTTGGTATTAACAAGCTGGGTCTAAAATTTATATGGAAGAGCAAGTGGCCAAGAATAGCCAAGTCTGTTTTGAGAAAGAATAAGATAGAAGAAACTTGTCCCATCTAGATGCCAAAATTTCTTATGATATAGTAAATAAAAGTGTGGTATTGGCATCCATATAGTTAAATTAGAAATATTTTCAACAAATAGCCCAGAAACAGACACATTCATATGTGGAAACATGTTATAAAACATAATTATAATTGTAAATCTCATAGGGTTAGCCATATAAGAAAAATAAAAGTAGATCACTATCTCATGCCTTATACAAAATAAAATCCACCTAAATTGAAAAAGCAAAGCTTTAAAACCTTTAGAAAACCATATATAGGAAAACATTTCTATGGTTTTGTATCCTTAAGACAGATTTTCCTTAAGAAGACACGTAAGTACAGCTCATAAAACAAGAAGTTGATAAATTAGATTACACTGAAATTTAAAGCTTTCATTTAACAAAAAGAACACTACAGAGTGAAAAACATGCCATAGACTGGGTGACAGCATGTGCGTTGCATAAAACTAACACAAGATTCACATTCAGAATATATAAAGAGGCCTGAAAACCAATAAGGAAAAGAAAATCAAGCAGTTTAATTGAAACATAGACACAAATACGAATAAATAATTCATAAAAGAGGAAACCCAAACAGCCAATATACATATGCAAAGATGATCAACCTCACTAATAATCCGGAAAATGCAAATTAAAACTAAAATGAGATACTGTTTTACACATACCAGATTGGCAAACTTAAAATGCTTATCAATACCACACAGTGGCAAGGATGTGGAGGAAACAGAAACTTGCAAATGTAGCTGGTGGGAATGTAAATTTTTACTACTACTTTGAAGAGCAATTTAACAATACACCGTAAGGGGAAGATGCACATACTTTACAACAAAGCAATTCTAGTTCTAGGTATACACTAGAAACACCCTTGCATGTGTCCGCAGAGATTTATAATAATGTTCACAGCAACATTATTTATAATAGCAAAAGTAGAAACCTAAATGCCCATCAACAAGAGACATAGATAAATAAATTGTGATATATTCCTTTACTGAAATATTATATATCCATGAAAATTAATGAACTAAAGCCACATGAAGCAATATGAATAATTTCAAAAACATTAAGAAGGGGGGAAGATAGTTACAGTTTCATACGTTATGATAACATTTACATAAAATTTAAGGCATGCAAAATGATATCATACATTATTTATGGATCCATACATACGTATGGAGTAAACATATGAAAACATGTAGGGAAATGATACCCACTAAATGCAGTACAGTGATCACCCCAGGAAGGACGGAAGGGTAATGGGACTGGGGAATTACACAAGAGGGTTCCAGTTACATCAGTGATGTTGTATTTGTTAAAAAAAAGAAAAGATTCTAAAATTATTTTGGCAAAATGTTAAGATTTAACAAAGCTGGTAGGTATGGGTCTATTGCGACTATAGCATTGCTATGAGTCGGAACTTTTTGGATTTTTTTTTTTTTTTGAGTTGGTAGGTGTGGGAGTGCTTTTCATATCATTCTGTATACATTTTCATATCCTTAAAATATTTCATAATTTTAAAGATATATGTTCTCTGCCACCAAGTTTACCTTAATGAGAAGTTGATGTTTACTCTTCCACCTTGCCATTTGTAGATGATTATACGCCTACAGAAGGAAATACAGGAACTGAAGGATGAACTAGCCATTGTCACAGGGGAGCAGAGGACAGAGGCACTCACAGAAGCAGAGCTCCTTCAGTAAGCCTGCAGACTTTTTTTTTTTTTCCTCTTAACAGTGAAAGTTTGTGTTAACTTCTTTGTTGGCTCTAATGTTATAAATTTACCTCAAAGCATGAAGGTCTCCTGGGACAGTCTGAAATTGCGTTTAGGCGCCAGTTAAGAGTGGCGGCTTTCCATGAAAAACTGGATAAGGCTGGCAGTGTTTTTGCCGCCTCAGCTTTGAGGAAGTAAAGAACAGAGCATAGAGAGGATGGGAATATCCTTCTCGTGCCAGCTGAGAAAAGAGATTGTATAATAGTCAGGCAATTTTAAAACACATACCCTAAATACTCTTAAGCTGTGGATCTCAGATCTGAAAGGAATTCAAGAAACATCCTTTGTATTAAACAGCATCTTGCTGCAAGCACCAATTTATCCCGTGCCAAAGTAAGCTCTCTCCTTTAATAAATACGTGGCCCATATATTATAGTTCAAACACTTGAAATGGGAATGAAAGCAGGTATTCAGGGATTTGTACAAATGCGGCATCTTTCAGAGCCTTTAGATTTGCGGCCATATGGCGTATCAGTGGCACAGTGTAGCTTTCCATTCTCTCTCTGATCATGAGCCACAGTGGTGGGCTTTCTTGTTTCTGTGCTGCATATTAAGCATTTGTGGAGGGTAATAATGGACTAGGCTTAAAAAGCAGTAATATTTTCTGTTTTCAAATAAGAAATTGAGCTATGCAAGATTTTTCTAAAGGTATACTGCCATTTTACCTTGCCCTCCCTCAGCAGAGGAAATGGTAAATAATAGAAACAATAAAATTAGTTTTCTTTAAACTATTTCATGGCTTCCCCCAGAGGTATGTCTAGAGCATGAGAAGTCTTAAGCAAAGCTTGTGTTATATTTGAAGCTTTCATTCTTCTAGGATACCCAAAAAACCCACTGCTGTCAAATCGATTCCAAATCATAACGACCCTATAGGACAGAGTAGAACTGCCCCATGGAGTTTCCAAGGCTGTAATCTTTACGGAAGCAGACTGCCACATCTTTCTGCCGCAGAGTGGCTGGTGGGTTCAACCTCCAACCTTTTGGTTAGCAACCAAGCACTTAACCACTGCACCACCAGGGCTCCTTTAATTCTAGGACACTGTACTTAATACTTTGACCGTCCCCTAAGGGTTTCCTCAAAAAGACTGCTTTGTGGCATACTTGCAATTAATGTGAAATATATTCCCAAAATTCCATTTTTGAGAATTTCATGTTATTCCTTGAGAAAACTTGGGATACTTTAGATACTGAGAAATTCAAAATGAGAATTCTTTCACTATGGTGCTGCCCTCCCCCACAAAAAGTAACGTACGGATTATTATCTTTAAGATCTCACTTTAGAATTTTGATCTCCAAGTTAGAGTCCAGCCAGAAAAACAAAACCACTCTAGACCTTTCAATAAATGGGAATTGATTACACAGGAGATGGTATTGCTGAGAAGCTAAACAGGGAATGATGCAAGACCCCAGAGGTCAATAACAGCAGGAATCTCCTATACTCCTAGAGCTAGAGGGACAATGGGAGAAGATGGTGTTACCAAAGCCTCAGAGGCAGAGCTGACCAGGAGAAGCTAGACCATAATGAGTGTTCTCTGATAGGAGCGGGGGCCACTGTAGACCACAGGTGCTGTCTATGACCTCATCCAAGGGGTGACGGAGCCCTGGTTTCTCCCCTCATCTCACCGTGTAGTCTTCCACCATTGACTCACACTGACTGAACTTACCCAGAACCCAGTAGTTAAAGGAGTCAGGGAGTGTAGTTTCCTGTGATGTAGAGTCACAGAAGGGAAGAATGGAAATTGGATCTAAGAGCGAACGGGGAAATGACCAGCATATCAAATAAGGCCATAAAATCTTAAGTGTTTTCACTAATTTCTGTATGTACTGTATATATTATGTTACTTAGGAGGCTCAGTTTCCTTACAAGAGATAAAAGGGAGGGAAGCAAGCAGAGAGGGGGGAACCTCATACCACCAAGAGAGCAGCACTGGGAGCAGAGCGCATCCTTTGGACCCGGGATTCCTGCGTGGAGAAGCTCCTAGTCCAGGGGAAGATTGACGAGAAGGACCTTCCTCTAGCACTGACAGAGAGAGAAAGCCTTCCCCTGGAGCTGATGCCCTGAATTTGGGACTGTGAGAAAATAAATTTCTCTTTGTTAAAGCCATCCACTTGTGGTATTTCTGTTATAGCAGCACTAGATGACTAAGACAACTGGTGTATGTCCTTAGAGAAATAAAGAGTGGTATTGCATTCATGAAACTAGAACAGAATCTTGATTCTTATAAAACACAATCAAAAGGAGATCTTGGAAATGAAAAAAATACAATTTCTGTCATTAAGAACTTAATGAGATTGCTCAATAGCAGGATGAAAAAACTGAGAGGCAAATTAGTGAGCCAGGAAGATAAGGGCTAAAGAATTCTTCCAAACAATCAGGAAGAAAAGGATTAAGAAATAGAAAGTTTAAAAGAAAACAGTCATACAGCACAACCAAAGTAATAACAAGCATTTTAGCACATATGGATGGGTATAAGCAAATTGCAATACAGGCATGTACAGATGTGCACATAGGTGAGAACAGATAGGAATATCTATAAAAACAAAACAAAACCGGTTTCCGTCGAGTCGATTCTAACTCATAGCCACCTTATAGGACAGAGTAGAACTGCCCCATAGGGTTTCCAAGGAGCAGCTGGTGGATTCAAACTGCTGATCTTTTGGTTAGCAGCCATAGCTCTTAACCACTGCACCACCAAGGTTCCTAAAAGTATCTATAGGTATATGTAAGTACAAATATGCGTGTGCAGGCACATATACTCATTGAAGACACAAATACAGATACTCCTCAGACATAACCAAACAGTTTCCAACATTGGTTTTCTGAGTTTGAAAACTTAGGACCATTGTCTCATGGGACAGCTTATCAACTGGCATAACATAGGTCACAAATATCATGATCTGCATCCTAGTGAAGTGAGTAGTGTCTGGGATCTTAAAAGCTTGCAAGCGGCTATCTGAGACAAAACTACGGGTCTCTACTCACCAGGAGCAAAACAGTAAGAAGGTAACCAGAAGCACAGAGAAGAAACAGGTCTACAAGAGCCACAATCTCATCTATCCTGAGAACAGAAAAACTAGATGTTACCTAGCTACTACCACTGACCATTCTGACTGGGGCCACAATAGTTGGTCCTGGGTATAATGGGAGAAAAATATGGAGCAGAACTCAAATTCTTATTTAAAAAAAAAAAAAAAAGCCAGACAAACTGGAGCAGTAGAGAACAGAAGACCCCCTGAGACTGTTGCCTTGAGGCTCTCTTTAAACCTAGAACTGAGCCTATCCCGAGATGACCTTTTAGTGACATAGCAGAGTAGCACACAAAATAAAGGATATTACCCATAAGATTGGTTCCCTACTTAAAAGCCATCAGGATGAGACCAAAACGTCAACAGTTTCTCAAAAGGAAAGATGAGAATATAACGGGGCAGGGAAACTAGAGTACTAGAAAGGGAACAAACAGAACAAAATTAAAGGTTGATACATTGTGATAAATGTAACTAATGTCACTGAACAATTTGTGTGTAAATTGTCAAATGAGAACCTAACCTACACTGTAAACTTTCACCAAAAACGCAATAAAATATTGTTTAAAAAGAAAGCAAAGAGTCATGAAGAATAACTAGATTTACCAATATCTACCTGTTATGGATGGAATTGTATCTCCAAAAAAGATAGGTTGAAGACCTAACCATTGTACCTGTGAATGTGACCTTGTTTGAAGAAATAGGATTTTTCTTTTCAGATGTTTTCAGTCACGTTAACAAGGTCATACTGGAGTAGGGTGGGCCCTAATCCTGTATGACTGGTGTCATATAAAAGGAGAGAAAAAACATGGAAACAGAGTCACACATAGGGGGAAGACACCATGTGATGATCCATCTACAAACCAAGGAATGCCAGGAAACTCTCAGGGCTACTGGAAAGTAAAAGAGACAAGAAAAGATCTTCCTCTGGAGCCAACAGAGAGAAAGAGAGTATAGCCCGACCGACACCCTGAATTCAGACTTCTAACCTCACAGCACCTGTTAGAAAATACATTTCTGTTCTTTAAAACAATCTACTTTGTGATATTTTGTTATGGCAGCCCTATAAAACTAAGACACCACCTAATAGGAGAGGAGCCCTGGTGATGCAGTGGTTAAGCACTCACTGCTCACCAAAAGGTTGGTGGTTCGAACCCACCAGATGCTACACAGGAGAAAGATGCAGCATTTGGCTTCCGTAAAGATTACAGCCTTGGAAACCCTGTAAGAGTTCTGCTCTGTCCTGTAGGGTCGCTGTGAGTCAGAGTTGGCTTGAGGACAACTGGGAATAAATACCTAATATGAGCTTGTGGAGGAAAATAGAGATAATGCAGGGGAGCCAGTTGTTGAAAAAATAATATCTAATAATTGCCTAGAATTAAAAAAAAAAAACAAAAAAAACTTCAGAATGAAAAGATTACCATGTGCCAAGCATTATAGTCATATTGCATAAAATGTGTAGAACTGAAAATATGGGGGAGAAAACCCTGAGAGTTGTCAGAGTGGGAAAAAATTACTAAAAATCAAGAATATGATTTAGAGCAGACTTTTCATGAACAAATCTGAAAAAAGAACTTCTAGGACCGAAAAACAAAATAAAAAAGGACTTTGAATGTAGATTTCTGTATCTAGCCAAATTAGTATTCAAATGTAAAGGTGATATAAAGGCATTTTTCAGATATACAAGAGCAGAGAAAGTTTACAGCTCTAGATCCTCTCTGAAAGAAGTTGTCATTAGTTACCATCGAGTCGATTCCAACTCATGGCTATCCCATGTGTGTCAAAGTAGATCTGCTTCATAGGGTTTTCAAGGCTGTGACCTTTTGGACCTGCTGACACCCTAAATTCTGACTTTTAGCCTCACAGAAAGAAGACTTCTAGCCTTCTAGCTGTGAGAAAAT